TGTTAGAAGAATGTGCTATCAAATCACGGATATGTAAAGTTTTTTCTTCAAAATAATTCCAGTTATGATATATGTGTCTGTGTACAAGGGTTTGTATGTAGATCTGTACAAATGTTTTATTGTTGTTAATCTATAATAATTGAGTTCATCAAGCATGGTTCATTACAATAATAAAGAAAATGCGATAATATGTATTTATTTTGCAATTGTTATCAAATTTATGCTGCTGTACTTAATCCAGGCTATGTGAAAGTGTAGTGAGGATATGTAGGCATTGATTATGAAATGGAAATGCTAATAAATAACTTCACATGAAGACTGTCCCATCTGTACCAGATAAATTGGATATTCCTCTCCACAAACAACTCTTAAAGTATTTGTACTGTCACATTAACTCCAGATATACTATCTAACTACAATGAATTTTGATAGATAATGAATAAATTAATGGTCATTGTTGCACTTTGAAACTTGTTAGAGCACAACTTAAATTTACTGTTTACAACTTCAAATTTTGATATTCTGTACAAAATACAATCCCTATTGAGGGATAAGCTACAAAGTGCAAATTAGATTAACAAAAGATTGGCTGTACTTTTATTTTAGGAAATTACTCCACGCACCAACTTGTTCATAAAATATTACACATGTACTAAAAAATATTTTATTTGCAAAAAGGCATCTTCTAGCCAAAATATTTGTAAAGATATGAGATTTATACACAACATCAATTCTTTTCTTTTTCTTCTTCCCACTTACAACAAATAATTCTCTCCACCTTCTCCTATCCTTATTTTTGTTCTTCTCAGATAATCATGAGTTTCCATTCTTCTAAAAAGTCTTCTCCTTTTTCTAATTTCTCCTTGTTCGTCTGTAATTTATCCCTCAAGAAGACAACAATTGGTGGACGTTGTTTGTGACCGATAGAGAGCAGCGGGCGGTTGCAACTCCGGGCATCAGTGATGGCGGCGGCGGATTACTTGTGCGGGGCGCCCAGTCCTCGAACTCCCATCGCTTGTGGATCTTGCACCGGCGACGGGCACATCTCGCAGTGATGAGACCTCGAATTGATTGCTCGTCCAACGGCGAATCATTTAATTTTGATTTTTTTTTTTTTATGCGGGAGTTCAATTAGGGCTTGAGTAATGTGGATTAATTGGGAATTTTTTCGCGCAGATGAAGATGGATAAGAAATTTGAGGCTTGAGTAATGTGGATTAATTTCGACTCCTGGATCTGAAATTATTTCCAGTATATGTTCTGTATATGTTTGGTATATGTTCGGTATACATATATAAACCCAGAAAATTGGAGTTATTTTCGGTATATGTTCTGTATATGTTCGGTATACATATATGGGGAGAGTCCAATCTAAACGGGTTACGGAGGCTGCAACAGGTTCGTCAAAGGTCTCGTCTATGAGGAGAGTCCGATCGATGAGCGGCCGACGTCGCGCGAATCCACCGGGGATAGAGGGAAAGACGGAAGAAGGGTTGTGGAAAGACGGGCGGAGAAATTCTTTTATCTAAAGGGTTGTGGAAACTCTTTTCTCTCTCTTCTATTGTGTTACACAGTCTTGCATCAATATAATTTTTTATTGTCAAGTAGGTATGTTTGCAAATAAATTTGGTAGTTAGTATTTGTACAAATATTTATGAAACACTAAGGTAAGTATTTTTACATGCCAGAGAAAAGTTATAAGAAAATTCAAACTAGAAAATATGTTGATGAAGGTTAAATAGATGAAATGTATTTTATAAACATTATTATAAAACTGTTATATGTTTGGCAATTGAGATAGACAATTATATATTGAGAGAAAATGAAAGCATTTATTTAAGCATTTTATGATTACTACTTCCCACTATGTATAGGGCCCAAAGTTTTCTAAATTATAAAAGCCTGACGGGTCAAACTGAACGAACTAGTAACTACTCTAGGAAATATACAAGATTTATTTTATAATCAATTTATTATTATTATTTTCTCAACTTCCTTTTATTTGTGTATTTAATTATTAATTACATTTTTGTTATTCTTTTGCGAGAGTGTATGCATGTGTAGGAGATACTGGATACATGGCAAACGGTTCTAAAATACAATAAGTTTTATTCCTTTTATAATGGCACTTTAAATACAAGAGATTCTAATGAAACTACTAGTATGAATCTCCCAAAAAATGAAGAAAAATATAAATACAAAATGCTTATGAAATCTTATGTTTTAGCAATTAATTTTATATTATTTTTGTGTTAAGTATATATGAAATGATATATTCACTAAAAAATTTAATATATAAATGTTGGGATCGCGCTGCAAAGGAGCTTCAATTGCACACGTGATGCGTCTAAATTTATCATTTTTTCAATTAAAAAATAATTTTTCATTCATTTTAAAATTATTGTAACATTTTTCCTTTTTCTAAATTTTTCATTTACGAAAAATTGGAGTGGAAAATGGGTATCAAGTTTCAACCAATCCATAGCCAATGATTTTGTTGAAGAAATGACAAAGANTTTGTGCACCTTCACTAATTACTATTTCCTAATTTAAAAACTTTGATATTGAAAATTTTAATTACCATGATTCTCTAGATTAGGAAAGTACTATTAATGTTTTCCTAAAAGGGCCAAATAAAACCCTAAACTTTGCTACAGGTTCAAATATGTCCATGAACTATTAACTATCTATCTATTTATATATACATAAAGATGGAAACTTTGCTACAGGTTCAAATACATCCATGAACTATTATCTATCTATATATATAAAGAGGGAAAAGTGAACTATTATCTATCTATATATGTAAAGAGGGAAAAGAATTTAATGCACAATATTAGATATTGGGGGAAGAAGGTGCGGTTCCACCAAGTGACGCACACCATAAGAGGGTGAATCTAACTAGATGCACTTTAATTAGTAAGGTTCCATCTTAAAACCAATTGATAATAGAAGGAGTAGTCACTATGCTTATAAATTAGACTCATTTACCCTGTAAAATTAATGTGAGACAATCCACAAATGATATTCCAACACATAATTTTTGTTTTCTGCCTTTTGGGTTAAATATGCAATACATTTTTAATTGATTGAGTAATAATAATTTTTTAATGATTATATTTTATAATAGTTATTAATAAAACTAATTAGTTATATTTTTACATTAAATATATATGAAAGTTACATACGCTTAACAACAAAATGTTATTGTAGAACTTTTTATTCAATTTATTTATTCTAAACTAATATTATCATTCTTCTTCTTTTTTTCTATCTCATTTAGCGATTTTTTAAATAAACTAATTGATTTTAAAGGTATAGTCAAACCCATTAAAATTGCATTAACAATTGTTACAATAACATATTTAATATTTTTTGAAACTATTAAATGGTCACGATCCTCAAATTATAATAGTTACATTATTCATTTCATTTTATCCAATCAATATACTAATTAATATGCAGTTAAATAATTTTGTACTGTTTATTTTTACTAATGTTTAAAATTTCAAAATATAATACTATTTATAAATTATTATTTTAATCTTATATGCGTGCATATACCTTATAATATTTTATTTATATTTGTTCACATGCAAACAATTCAATGCTGTACAAAACAACATACCCCGTAACATAATTATTACTACATATCTTATCTTTTGAAATGACATGTATTTATCAAGAGAAAAACGCTCCATTCTCTCTCCTAAAAAAAAACCAGATCTAGAAAAAAAAAACCAGATCCCGTCACCCCCCCTTAGCCTTCTACCAGGCATCAGCCCTTCGTTTCCGGCTTGGCCGAGGTCGGAGGATGCCTCTCCGCCCCAATTTCAGTCGTGCGTGGGTCGATCTTGTAGCGGCTCCCGGAGTTGCTGCGGCGTGGCTCTCGTGTCGGCTCGGATTGGGGTCGTTGTGCTATTTTTCCTCCTCCGGCCTCGTGCCCGGCCGGGAGGCCTCCCTTTGGCCACCTTATCGTTTTTCTGGTTGGAGGCTCCCAGAGGCCGAGCTTCCTTTCTCGGCCTCGGCGGCGGTAGTGTGTCTCGTCGTGGCCGTTCTTCGCATGTGCTTCTTCTCTCTGGTGCGGATGTCCTATGAAGGCCAGATCTGAACTGAGAATTTACTCCTCGTCAGATCTGTCTAGGTGACTCAAGTTTCGTCGCAGTTTTTGGGTCTGGGGTTTCGGTCTGCTCTTCTTTTAGGCTTCTGTGCGGTAGACTTTGGCTTGTGCGCTGGTTCGGGCGGCTGTGTGTTCTGCATGATAGGTGTAGGGGAGGTCTTATTATTAGAGTATTGTTTAGGTGTGTGTTGTTTTTCTTACATTTTTGTTTTTGTTGGTTTGTTAGTGCAGCTTCGTCTGCTTTCAGTGCAGTTTCGTCTGCTTTTAGTGCAGCTGTGTCTGCTTTTTGGAGTTTTGTTCTGTGGTTGTTTGCCTCCTTGATGGAGTTTGTACCCCTTGCGTGTGATGACAGGGGGTTGGTCCAGTCTTCTGGTTCCAATGTGTCATTTGACACTTCGGTTGTACTTTTTTGAGTTTTTAAGTTATTAATATANGAAATTTACTTATCAAGATGTATCCATATAATAATTACTTACAGTTATGTTATCTTTAGAAATTACATGGATTCCAAAATTTCCATATCATTATTTACTTATCAAAATTTGCCGGATAAAATTTATACTTACGTACATAGTTACATGTATCTTATATCTCGAATTTACATGTGTTTCAAAACGATTTGATTTTGGAAAATATATATTATATTGTGTTTTTTTCTCACTCAATCAAATGATTTGATTTTGTATTCGATGAAAAATGTTTGGATTGAAATAATAAAAGATATTGGATAATTGTTGAAATAATAGAGAGGAAGGATGGAAAATGGTGTGTATATCATATAAGATTGTCCCTATGGTAAATATTATTTTCTTGATCTATTATTGTTAAGTTATTTTATACCACATAAACTAATAATATCAAATTATCTCTGAAATAAACTCTAATACCAATTACCATGAGAAGCTCTAGAATGTTATTATAGTATTACATATATTTACCTAAGTAAACAAATTATCTTAGAAAGAAATAGAAAAACATAGGAAACATAAATTGGCCACCCACCTCTCAAGATAATTTAGTGGTGCTTTTGGGCTATTTGGGCTCTATTTGTTGCTTCAAAATAGAAAGGCCAAGAAAAACCCATTTGGCCCACAAAAATCTCTATTGGCCCTTAGTTTAATGTTTCTTAAGAAAAAAATCACTAAACTACAATCATCATTTTAATTTATTATTCTAAAAAGGGATTCATTAATTAAAAACAGCACTTTTACTCGTCATTGTCTACTATCTCCCTAACACATCCCCCTAATCTTTGGATCAATTTCCTATTTATATCAATTTAAGGACACAAATTAGTTGGGCCCTACTTTCTTTCTTATCTCATCAACTAGTTGTAATTGAATTTCATGCATGCTTGTGCATGTGTTGTGTTTGTTGCTAGCTATTGTTGTTTTGGAGTACATTTTGTCATAATCAGCCACTATCAAAATATCGGTCTAAATAAAAAACTAAAACATGAAATATCATAGTTAAGAGCTTATCAAAATTGAATTTTGTTCATTTATATAGATAGTTTCATGTGGGAAGTGGACCAGTGATAATAGACTTACAGATTGTTTGGGCACACTTATTTAAATGTGAATGTCTATTTAAGAATTAATTGTGCTGAATTATATATGAATTGACTTATCAAATAAATTTTTTTAATAAGTCCATTAGAAGAATAAATGATTGAAGCTTTTGGAAAACTTCACTTTACAAAAAATCTTGTAAAACTATGGTTGGCAAACCTTGCTGAAAATTTCTTTGATAGTTAATAAGTTAGCTGATAAATTATAAAGAAATTTTTTTGATAGTTAATAAGTAAGCTGACAAAATTATAAGTTGAGCTCAGGTTTTAAAAAAAATCATCTTAAAAAAAATTCATCCTACCATATTAAATTTATTTAAATAAAAAGATTGTAAAATACGTAAATAAGTTATAAGCTATCTATTGTGTTATTACTTATTATGTATTTAAATTTGGTTTGTGCTCTATAAGATTGTGAAAATATAACCCCAACCAAAAAGAAAACACAAAAGGTGTCTTAGTCCACTTTCAACATTTTCAGTGCCTAATGATCATTAATATGAACGTGTGAAAGATTGTAAAAGGTGTCTATGTGGGGTTACTATTTTGTTCTCTGGGAAATTTAGGGTAAGTTATTAGTCTTGTCAAAAAAAGTGTTCACTATTTTGCCAAATTCTTCAGTTTATATTATTGCTGTTCATGGGCCCAACGGTTGTGGCCCACGCAAATGTGAGAAAATGTGACTGGTAGGACCCGGCCGAGTAAACAAAATTGCACACAAAAAATTTCAAAAAAAGTAGGATGAAGAGTTGAAAATATTTTTAGAAAAAATGAAATAAATATAAAATTAAGAATAAATATGAGATAAAAATGTAATGAGTAACGTTTATCTAATATAAAAATAATAAAATTATAAATTAATAAGACTTGATAGTTAGAAACATGTGAATAATATATATTATTTTTTTACTGAAAAAAATATATGATAATAATAATTTTTAACATTTTAATTGTGCTGCTCGGATTGTCTGAGAAAATGGATGAGATGAAATGAACAGCATTTATATTTATCTATTTTTTTAATTTTATTGTCAATGTGCATTGGAATAAATTTAACTGAAAAAATAAACGATTTTTTTCGTATGCAATATAATGCATTCATTTTACTTTTATTGTTATTTGTACCCCAAAACAACGTTTGGTATACCTTATTAAGAAAATTATTTTTAAATAAATTTGGAAAATAAAATTTATATTTTAATTTTTTAATACTTCATATCATAAATTTAAAATTTTATTTTTATTCATACATATCATAAAATAATCTTGAAATATATTTTTATTAAATAATAGATTTATTGATTTTTCAATAAGAATTGACATATATTTTAACTTTTTTATATAATAGTCATTCTTAACACAAAAGCGTCAAATAAAAAATAATTAACTTGACATATCATATTAAAAATGGTAACCTATAAAAATATATTTAAATTTCAAAATACAGTTAGTTGGACGTTTTATTTATTTATTTATTTATTTCAAAACGATAGAGGTATTATATAAAACTCAAACACAAACAATGTTTGAATACATCGACAAATCCAACAAAACCTAAAAATAAGAGTGGAGGACACGCGTGCAAGCGACCTAGAGCTCAACTAAATAGGCATAAGCAAATCAAAAGAAGAAGGCCATACTAGCTACTGCATCAAATGCCTAACTAGCTAACCTACTTCACTGAAAAGAAAAGAAACAAAATACTACAAAGTAGCAAGGTATATACAGACAATAGAGCTGCAGGACAAGAAACAACTTCAACCCTTCACTAAATTGTATTCTAGCCATTCCTTGTGTGCTGTTTTAATCACCACAAGGGATAGGCATGATAGTCTGTTCAAAGAGACACAAATTTCTCGATTTTCAGAGCCACCATAGAAGATATGTTGTGAGCTGTATTTTATCTTTGGCCACTGGAGTTTTATCAATTGAACAGAGCTGCCACCACCATGACCTAAAAGTGCAATTCTCAGTGCCTACTCCATCCCATTTAATCGGTCCCACATTCCATAGCATTTGCGCTCTCGGGCAGCAGAAAAATACACGCTCAATTGTTTCTGGGGATTCTCCACACAGTAGGGGCATAACACATCCACTGAAATACCTCGTTTTTGCAGGTTTGTCTTCATAGGCAGGAGTCCTGTATAACATTTCCATATGAAATGTTTGATGGTCCCTTTAATTTTCAGTCCCCAACTTCGCAGCCTAGCTTCTCGAATGTCAGAGGTGTGCAAACTTGGACCGGGGATATCTAGAAGAAGAAGCTTCTGTTTGATCATATGAAAGTAAGTTGAGGAGACTGAAAAATGACCATTCTTTTCGAGGCACCAGAAGAACCTGTCTTGCTTTCTAGGATTCAAAGTCTTTATGTTTAGTATGGCTTGACTGTCTTCTTCATTGAACAATTGCTTCACTTGCCAAGTGTTCAATCCTAAACCATTTGCCAGCATTAGCTCCTTTACCCCAAGTGATGTGTCCTCTAGCAACATTCAGTAGGTTAGGCCTGAGAGAAGGTAAAGAAGGTACCCAGTTGATGTCCTCAATTCTAGTGTGCTCCCTGTTTGTGATTTTTTAGCCGAGTACGATCAAAAGATCAACCTCGGGTCGCGTCTCTCGAGGAAGGTTGTTCGGAACTTCGTTCACTATCTACTCATCAATTCACATAACCGAAAACAAGGAACGAAAGATGCAAGATTGGATTGCACGAAATTAAACTAAGAATCTAAGAGCAAATTATGAAAGATGCAAGATTAGGGAGAAAGATCGAATCTTTGGTTGCACGGAGTATCCATAACTCACGAAAATGAAAACAAACAAGAGAAATCATGCGAGCAAAGTGATCCTAGGTAATCTAACACGAGTTTTCTACACTAAATCATCACGCTTTGAGCAAAGTCGAGACCTCTATATATAAAAGATAAGCATGTATCAAATTTCTAACACACGTAAGCAAGCAATGAAAATAAAGCAAAGTCCTAGAATCGAGCATAAATACATAAATCAAAAAACAAACTCGAAGTAGCAAGCCCTAAGCAAGGCACTTACTCTCCTATCGTATGCTCGGACAAAAATAGTGCGTAAAACTCGAGTCTTGATTAAAAATAAGGTTGCCGGAATTTTGCCAGAAAAATCGAGTCATGAATATCAAAACCAAAGCATAAAAATAAAAGAGAGAAAATAGAGATGATTTCCCAACTTAAAAGTTGGGAAATGAGGGGTGGTGTCCAAATATACAAAGCACAATGTCTATTTATATCTACACCACAAACACACACTAAAAACGCACACATTTAGTGAAATTGTGAAGCTCGCACATCTCGAAACCGATTTCGCAGCGAGTGTGGCATGTGAAATGGTGCAGGCACAGGCGTTCGCGGGTCGCAAAACCGAACTCGTTGCGAGTGCACAACATGGGGCTGCAGGTGGAGCACGCTCGCGGGTCGCCAACGGGATTTCGCTGCGAGTGCTTGTTGTGGCTGTCGCTGGTCGTGAGACTTTGTTCGCAGCGAGTGCAGCTGCTGTGTGCCTTCGGTCGCGCCTCGTGTCTCACCAGTCGCGAGACCGTGTTCGCAACGAGTGGCCAGCTGATTTCGGTTGGTTCGGTCACTGGCTGGGATAACTCGATGCTGGTTCGGGTGGCTCGGAAATGGCACAAACGGCACGTCTTCCCGAAATTGCTAATTGGTCCTAAACAACACACCAAAAGAGATGCGAAAATACGACAAAATACAAAAACGACCGACACAAACAAAAATACACAAACACGATAAAATGGACCAGTCGACACTAATACGAACCTAAAATGACTAAATTAAAGCACGATAAACACACGAAAAGCACGGCAAAAACACAACAAACATTCCCCATTTCTGATTTCTGTTTAACCAAGTGTGCCAGACCCAAGAACCTTTATGAGATTTTTGATGCATCAAATAGTGAACTATAGGGATGTACATGTCCTTCAAAACTTTAGTCATCAGAAGATCCGACTCAGTGGCAATTCTAGTGTGACGTTTTATACTTTTAAAATTAGAATTAAAAATATGAATGAAAGTTCATATCACTATGGACAACATAGGAACCACCAGAAACTAATACACAAAATTACCAAAAAAAAAAAGTTAACACAGGATGAGCACAAGAAATAACATATATGTTCTACATTTATATATAAAAATGGGTTATTGAAAAATTATTCTAAATTTATTATTATTGAAACGTTAGTCAACCTAACAATAATATTTATGATTAAAGCTAGGTTAAAACTATGAGCTGAATTCTTGTTGAAGCATATTATTAATATGCGTGCGTGCGTGTAGATACTGCAAAAAGGGGACCATGATAGTTTGGTATATTTGAATACTTTTGGGGAATTTTTCAAAATTTGTACTACTCAAGTCTCACCCTACTCACAATAGGCTTTGGAACAGCTTTGTCGCTTTTTCACCCCTATAAATGAATCAAATGATACAATAGTACCGTGATTAGTCAAAAGGAAAATATTTATAATCATAGAACTGACTGAATTTATTATAGTTGATAATGCAGAGTTACCAAACATAAAAATTTATGAATTATGAAATTAAGGACATAAAGTGCAATGCAATTGTAATCGCCAGAAAATGGATCAGCAATTTAGTATTTATCGCTCTTTGAGTATGTCTGTAACTATTGAAATTGAACGTGGTCTCTAATGAGGTTCAATTCAATGTATTTATAAAAGTTATAAAAGAAATAATGAGCGTGTTTGATAGACACGAGTTCGAAAGAATCGAATGTAACATGACATGTGGCAGTGATGTTTTTAAGGATGAGACGTGATTGGAAAGTAGTTTTTCCAATTCCTTTTCACATTATATCGACATATCAGGTGGTCTGTTGGTAGATCGACCTCGAACACCTTTTAGATTTACGATCCATATATGTTGGACTGTGATTTAGGGTCCAAAATTAATATAAACCCAATAAAGATTAACGGTATCAAATTATGTATGTCATTCACAAAATCGATTTATTGAAAACTTGATATATTATATGAAATTCAATCGGTTCAATTAGTGAACATATTATTTGTTAAAAATATATATATTAAAAATATTTCTTATTTAGTTTCTATTTTTTTTTTCTTTCATATGTGGATAATAGCAGGACTAACAATTAGAGTTATTATTCGAGTCGAACTAAGTAGCTTTCATGCTCGTTTAATAAACATAAAATCTTATTGGCGTGATTGGATATGAATCCAACTAGTTTTGATTGGTTAATGTGAATTATTATCAATAAAGGTCATTTTAGTGGATATTTTGAGTTTTTAATTAAATAATATTTAAAAAATAATAATTAAAGTTGACGTGATGTAAAAGTAAATGAGAGATGTTATTGAGAGCGATAAATAGTTCAAAATATGTGATCAGATAAATATTGAATTAAAGTTGATGTGATATATATAGATGATTGATTGATATTATTTAATCATATTGATAATATTGAGAAGAGTTAAGATGAATTGAATTTTGAGCTAGAAGTTTTGAAACAAATAATACAATCGATCAAAAACCAATTAAAGCCGAATTTGTCTCATATCCAGACGCGTCTTAAATGTTTGAGTAGCGAGCAAGAAAAAATTGGTTGCAAATTAGTTCGGCTCGGGTATTTGATTTAATCCAAAAAAAAAAATAAAAAATTGAAAGACAAAAATGAATTGTTTGCGAATTGATTTAGTCATGTTCATTCAAAGAATAAATAAATCTAATCAATCTTCAAATTTAACTTGTTTAAAAGTAAACAATTATGGTAAATTTGAATTTCCACAAATATTTCCAAATAGTTAATTTCAAGCTAACATTCATAAAATAAATAGAGACTCTTGTGAGGAAAGTGACAGCAGCATCTTGCTCGGGCACACGTGCGTACACGCTTTCCCATGCTTATAATGTCGCGACAAATCACCCGAAATGACAATAATGTCCCCACATAGTTTTCCAAATTTAGTCCAAGCGAAGCGACGCATCCACCAATTGAGCAGAATAATCACATTTATTTCAGACCATTCCCTTTTGCTTTATTTACCATACTATACAAAATAAGATATTTCAATTTTAATAAAAAATATTGTTGCGCTTTTCACATATCTATATATATATATATATATATATATATATAATAAAAATGGTCATTTTTTAAAAATGGAAAGTCAAATTTCAGTCAACATTAATTATCTATCATTTTTAGTAACTTTTTTTCCCTAATAATCATATTAACAATATATTAAAAGAGCGATTAACATGCTTTGTTATATAGATACGTAATTTTCACTTCAAATTGAAATGGTAAGAGACTTTGTTCATAAAAAATTGACAACATTTTAACAAAGATTTTCAATTTATGAGTCTTTGTTCATAAATTTTTCAACATGTAACAACATGTTAACCATTTTTCAAAGCATGTTAATACATTTCAAGTTTTAATAAGAATTACCATGTGAATATGACAACAATATTTATTTATTGATTCATTTCAATTTTTAATATTCCCCAAACTTCAAATAATCATATTAACAATACGTTTATATGACAACATGTTTAATGATTAATGAATATTTATATATCATTTTATTAATATTTATGTGAATAAAATAATATTTTATTATAATTTTTATTAATGTACAGTGAATATGGTTTTCAGAATCGAACCATCATCGAAACGATCAAGTTATTCTATTAAATCATTTGTAGTTTATTCAGATTTTAATTTATAAATATTTTAATATCAATATATATACATTTTAATATATATATATATATAGAGTACTTTTTGTAATAAATTTTAATAAAATGTGTTACTTAAATATCTAAACAATTTATAAATTCAAATGTTAAAACTAATTGATAACAATTTATAAATCTCTATTTTATTTAAATATGTAATTTTATTTAAAATAATTTTATATGTAACATAATTTATTTAGAAATTGTATCGATCCTACCAGTCTAACCGACTAATGTTGACGGATTCAATAGTAAATATTTTATTCAAGCGAACTACACTGTTTATAACCCGGTTCTCGGTTCATCCGGTCGGACTGTGTCCAACCTGGTTTAATTTAAAAACAATGGGTAAATCATAATTAATGATATTATATATTTAATTTATAATATAATCGTAATATTATTTTTTTCCCATGCATCGCACGGGCCACGCACTAGTTAAAATCGAAAGTTATGAGTATTTTCTTCTTAAACTCATTTGCAATACATATTAAGGTAATTTTACCATATTAACTAAAATTTTTATATATATGGTTCTTACCTTTTTTATTTTCTTAACCAAATATTTATGTTGTATTATTTTTCTAGTAACTGCCCTAAAGATTGCTTATAAATAAATTATAAATATATATTATGTGAAAAAATAGCATAATATATTATAAAATAAAATTTTATATACGTTTTATAGGTTTGAACTATTTTGAGTGTATACAAGAACTTATACAAGAACTTGAAGTATCAAATAAATGAACTTGAAGTATCAAATAAATGAAGTATACAAGAATGAGTTTAAATAAATGAACTTGAAAAAAATAAATTTGGGTGTAAATAAATGAAGTATCAAATGAACTTGAAAAAATAGCATAATAAATTTGGGTGTATACAAGAACTTGAAGTATCAAATAAATGAGTTTAAACGATAAATTACTTGATTGCCTGTCGAGTCATTATATGAAAATAAAAATTATAATATTTATAAGTATTTTGTACTTAAAACCGCAAGACGAGGAAAAACCGAAGATATCAGATTGGTTCGATACTGATTTTCAGTTAACCGAAATTAAAAAATGCTAAAAGATAGTATAAGGCAGCACTACAGCAGTTCTAAAATTTNAGAGTGAAAGGAAAATATTTTTCGTTATCTAAAATTTTCACTTGTTTGTCTAGTAACTTTATATGGTAGATCCCTTGTGTTGTATATATGTTTTGAATGTTCTGGGTCTATGTAAGACTCTATTTCGTAATCTAATTTGACAAATTTTTTCTGTAGTTGGTAAGTATTTAGCATCAATTTCTCTCTTCATTTACCAACTAGGTCCGAATATTTCAATAAACACAAGCAACAAAATTATTTCTCTCATTTTTTTTTATTTTTTTTTTCTCTTCTCACATTTTATCTCATCACATTTTTCTTGGACTCTTTCGTCTATAATTTTCTTACTGAGTAAATTGTTGATTATTGTAATGCTTTGTCTCTGTTCAATTGGCGATAGTATGTTGAAACTAAGATTTTATCCGGGAGTAAATGTTGGAAAATAATGTTAAATGGCAGATTAAAAACTAGATTCTAACATATATACATATTAAGAATTTGTAAGTAGCTAGAAGTCAATTTACAAACTGAACAAATGAATTCATGAAGTTCGGTTAGAGCATTGTAAAAGAATGAAAATTAATATGACCCTTTACATTATAAAATTAAACACACACTATTTAATCAAAGGGTTCTCACACAAATATAATTTTCACTTTTCATGTGTCATGTTTATTACAACAGTATCCATAGCAAATCATATGAAAATTTTATGTTGCAACAAGAATGAAGAATTTTGTAAGATTTATAGAATCGGGACAAGAGATGCGATCACACGCAAGTCAAGATGGTAGGAGTAGCTCACTAGATATATAAACTAGACTCATTTTTCTTATAGAATCAATGTGGGATAACTTACAAGTGATATTTCAATTTTTAACAATTTTTTTGGAATTTTCCCTAAAATAATAGTAATATGTATCTTCATAATATTGATTATCATTATGGCATATTGTTTTACCTATGTAATTACGAATGCACATGCATAAATTATTGGAAACTTTATCGGAAATAAAAATTAAGATGACTAAATAATAAAATATGGAGGCCAATAAGAACACAGATTCGCCCTTATGAATGTATGTTTCTGGCATAGCAGGCTAAAATCTAGACGAACTAAAATTATGCTTGGACTTTATATTCATAAGCAACTAGAGAGGAAGGGATTTTGTCAATTTTACTTCTTAGCTTGTAACACAAATGTCACACCCTTTATATAGGCACAAACATGATGTCGATGTTACAATTCAATTAATTTGTCCCCTTCAACTGAAGAGGACATTATGTTTGTTCTTTGTTCATTTCACCCCATTAAATTCATAACTTGATGAATTAATTTGTAATGGATGGAGTTAGAATTCCTACCATAACAATTAACTTCATCCGTCATGTTTTTTTTTTTACATCATAAATAACATTGAGGTGCTAGTCTTCGTATTTGGTAAGGCAACCTTCTATTGTATGGCTTACACTTCTTTTAGTTTGTGTTTGGTTTGATACTTAAATTGTGTTCTTCTGTTGGACGTTAATTTTTTTTTTAAGTATAATATTTATCTCATAATAGTAGTGTTTTTTGATTTGGACCAGCCCAACGGGTCGATCGAGATACAATTGACCTAGAATCGGGATGGTCCTTTTGACCAGGCAACAAGGAACTTGATCGACTGGGACTTGACCCCACCGTGTAAATTCGGTTGAATCGACTATTATATATATGTGTGTATGTATGTTTTATTTTTTAAAAAATAGTATAATGTATATATGTATTTATGTGGTAAATATTTATGATACGATAAAAATTTTATCAAGGCTTTGAGGTATAAAATTTACATATAAATTATCTATTTTGACATTTTTATGTATAGTTATATGTTAAAAATATTATAAATGTTATGTAAAAATTTTAAAATTCATTGTGTGATTCAACAATTAACCCGACGACCTGACGATTGGAACCGTTGACTCGGTGACTCAAAGGCTAATTCGGTCAATCACCAATAGGGTTTTAAGACATTGCATTTTAGTAATTAATATGGGGATATATAACGAAGTTAGTACATAGACTAAGGTGTAATTTCAACTAGTACAATACGGTGTATTACATGAGCTGATAGTTCAAATATTTATAGTTAAATAGAGAGAGAATTTTGTATAAAATTTAAAATAATTTTTAAAAATTACATTATTTTATTTTATTTAAAATGACACCCATCGACTTACTAACTGATAAATAATTCATTTTAGTTTAAGCAATTTATAAATACATAATATTATAATAATAAATATAGATAACTTATATTATAATATATTTTCTCGTCGTTTAAATATAATTATTTATTTTATATATGTAATATGAATGTCAAATCGAAACTTGTTAAGGGATGATTAATTTAATATAATATATATGAAAAAACGATAACAAATACAAATTCATAGACTTTTAGAATATATTTTTAATTTAAGTTAGTCGGTGTAATTTCAAAAGTCCTAATAAGCATGGATAAAAATCTATATCTACATGGACTACTCCAAATCACTAAAAAATATGAAAAATAGAATTACGAAGCACCAGAATTCGACATATATATCTCAAAAGTTGATACATAAAGTGGGAAAACCGTGCATTAACACATAGGAAGGATTAATAATACTCTATGTCTCAATTTAATTAATTTAACTATTAAACACTTGCAATTTTCATACTCGGCCGTTAAGTTGATGCTAAAATTAGTATAAAACAACACATTAAAGGTCGAGTATAAAAATTATTAGAGTTTTTAATAATTAGGGTACCCAAATTGAAATAACTAAAACGTGGATACGGATATTAAATGCACTTAATTTGGTAACTGAATTGGCAATTTAGTGATTTACATTGTCACCGAGTTGTTAGATTCACCCGTGGATTGATGATAACTTCGAATAACTGTTCAATGACGTCATCCCCACGGTAGATATGGTCTCACTGGTGGGCCCCACATGGAGTACTATCTGCAAAGGCTGTCGTGTGCTCAATTATTATTTATGGAAAAAGGAAAAAAATTGAAGTTGATGAATTATATAGCGTGTATACACTATCCGAAATTCAATTTTTTATTCCCAAAATAATTGAGAAAAAAAAAATCATATTACCAAAAAAAAAAAAATAAG